GCTGGCTTCAAGAGCAAGTTTTGCACTTGGGTGAGTTTTCCCTCATAGAGACTGTATTTAGTAATTAACACCTCGTAGACTCTTTATGTTCTTTCCAGGTATGTGGTTAAAAACACTTTTTAGACTGGTCATTGTAGTTGTCTTCCCAATATCCATTCCATCCTTCTCTTATTAACTACCAAATTTTTATTCAGGTATCCATATCTTCTCTATACAGTCATGTGCTTTGCAGAGTGTGACAATGCAAATCTAGATCTAGTCACATGCCCCCACTCACCTAATTGAATGGACTGGGAAAATGTTGGTAAGCATGAGTAATATCTACCCAAAGTATGAATAGAGAGAAAGAAATAATGCAGGTCCTTTATGACGTCACTAAACTACCAAATTGAACCAAATCTGAGAGTCCTCTTGGGTAAACCTTAGTTTCTTGTTATGACAGACAATAAATGTCACTTATACTTAGTTTAAGGTCCCCGGATGGTGCAAGTGGTTTGTGTTTGACTACTAACCTAAAAGCTGGCAGTTCAAACCTATCCAGCAGCACTGTGGAAGAAAGGCCTGGTAATCTGCTTCTATAAAGATTACAGCCAAGAAAATCTTATGGAGCAGTTCTACTCTGTAACACATGTGGTCACCATGAGTCAGAACCCACTTGATGGCAACAGGTTTGGGTTTTTTTGGCTTGTAGTTAGTTTAATCGGGTGTGAGTTGATTTATTCTATTATTTGAAAATCCCTCCAGTGTAATTTTGCATTGTACAAGTAAATATATGTTCAGTATAGAATAATGGGAAAATATGCATAAACTACAAAGAGAAATTAAAAGTTGCCTGGAATCTCAGAGATAATATTTTGGTATATATTCTTTGAGCTATGTATGTGTGTATGGATGTATGTGTATATGTGTGTGGAAGTACGCATGTACAAGCAAACTGATAGGAACACCATCTAAATTATTATTTTACAACCTACTTGTTTTTACTCAACAACATTTTAAAACATCCCTTGAAGTCAATAAATATGTTTTTAAGATATCACCTTAATGTCTGTTTAATATTTGATTTTATGTGACTCAGTGGTTAAGAGTTCAGCTGCTAACCAAAAGGTTGGCAGTTTGAGTCCACCAGCCACTCCTTGTAAACCCTATGGGGGCAGTTCTACTCTGTCCTACAGGGTTGTCATGAGTCAAATCAACTTGATGGCAATGGGTTTGGTTTTTTGGGGTTTATCACAATTTGCTCAAAACACTCTGTACGATAAGTTCAGAGTATTTCATTTCATTGTATAAACTGGGACAGGAGGACAGGTGGTGCCTATTTTGGAATACTTTCTTACCTGGAGCAAAAGAGTATTTGGAAAACCTGTTTTCTTTCTCTATCACCTCTTCCTTTTTATTTCTGGCCTCTGCTTAGTTCTATCAATAGAAATAAATACAAATACAGCTCAGCATGGTGGTAGGGTAATTAGTTTTTTTTTTTTTTTAAGTTTCCTATAAAATTTTCAGTAATTTTTTTTTTCCCATTGCATGACTGTCTTGTATTTGTTACTGGTGTTGATTAGGTATGTAGGTTATTCAAGGTGTTGTAGGTGGTGGTGGCATTGCCATCGAGTTGGCGCTAACTCATGATGCCTTTATGAATAACGTAACAAAAGGTTGTCTGGTCCTGTACCATCTTCCTGATTGTTGGTGTGTTTGAGTTCCTTGTTGCGGCTGTTGTGTCAGTTGATCTCATTGTGGGTTTCCCTCATTTTTACTGACCCTCTACTTTAACAACCATGATGTCCTTTTCTAGTGACTGGTCTTTCTTGATGGCATGTCCAGAGTAAGCAAGCTGAAGTCTTGCCATCTTCACTTCTAAGGAGCATTCTGATTTGAATTCTTCTAAGACTAGAAGATAATTGGTGATACAGACGCAACAAATAAAGTAAAAAAAAAGAAAATCTGGAAGTCAGGATGTAACAGCAAAGTGCAGATCCAGCTTTGTAGGGCTTTCATTTAAAACACAAAAGTCAGTGTAGTCTTCATGGGAAAAAAATTGGTTATGGTAAATGTGCTGAGATGATCTGTCTGCTTTTTCTGTATTGGCTGCTGTGACCATTTGGCATTGTCAGTGACCTCTGATGCTTGGCTTTCTGCTGTGTTGCTATGTTAGGCACAGGGGTGATATTAAAATTATTTAACAACTGGTGAGGCAGGGGCACTGACCAATGAAAACAGACCACAGCCTTAGTCAACTGCTATGAAGGAACTAGTGCGCAAGGGCTGGATGGCTGCCCTGAGTGACGATGATAAAAAACAAACAACTAAAAAACACTTGGGTTTTTAAAAATTGTTTATTTTACCCAGGAAAAGTTCTGCATATAAACCTTTTTTTCCCCTTGGTTTTGGACTTGCATGTCATTCCAGTCATATTGCTGGGGGAAGTAGCCTTTCCACAAAAAATAAAGGGTAAGTAGCTACTCCCTTTCTGTAAACATTATCCAAATTCATAGAAAAGGATTACTAGCACGAATATGTGAAAACTTACAATTCTTCATAGAAAAAAAGAAACAATAAAAAGGAAATATAAACAGGCCATTTAGACACACATACAAAAGAAATACAATAAATATAATAGGTGGTTCACCTCATGAATGAGCAAAGAAATACCAATTTAAAAAAATTGTATTTTTCCAAGCCCACTTGCTTATGACCACTGCTCTGGGGATTAACTACACTGCTTAGTCAATTCTTTCAGCAAATGGTTAACGAACACCTTACTATGTGTTCGGTGCCAGAGGACATACTTCTTATCCAAAGGTAGATAAACAGTCTGCCCTTAAGACAACCATAGCCCACTGGAGAGACTGAGCGAGTGTTGCACAAATCCTGATCCTCCAAATATTAAAGAATTAATCAGTTTGTCAGAGGTTCCCTTTTTGCTAAATAGTAACAGCCACAGGGACCTGCCAGTTCAAATGATTGAGTTATTCCAAAAAGCAGATCGTTCCAAGTTGCGCCTGTGTGCAGTCAGAATGTGGGCTAACTGTACCATGGTGGTGAAGACTGGAGGCAGAAACAAGCGGGATCCCTGCCGACTGACAGCTAAGCGTTCAATGCTTCTATAACTCCCCTCCAACAGGTTCACCCATCTGGGCTCAACTGAGGGGCCCAGAAGCTTTCTTCTCTGGGCCAATCAGAACTCAGCCAGCATCTCTTTGGTGCAATCATTTCCACCTTACAAAATGATTAATCCTGTTCCAGCTATTTTTATTTGATCCTATAAAAATAGCTCCCGTCCCTCAGTCTTGGCGGGGCATCAAGGCCTCCACTCTTCAAGTGCACACCCCAGTCGACCCTGCCCTGACATTTACTTCCAGGCCATTGGCATTTGGGGGCGCAGCTGAACCCACTGCTCTGAAAACACGGTCGGTTCCACTAAGCGTCATACCGGAGAGGTAAAGGTGCATTCGCGGTGGGAAGCTCCGTTTAGGACACAAACACCAAGATCCTCCCAGGCTGCTAGTAAAACCCACGATACGACAATCCGAGGGTCCCAGCGAGAAGAAAATGGATCACGTCTGCCACAGGCACTTAGGCCAGCAGGAGGGGCGGGGGGGGGGGCGGTGCTGAGGGTGGACTTGCGCCATGGCCTTCAATGCACATCTCCACCCCTATCCCCACCCCCAAACTGGTCCCTCCCCAAGCTGAGGGATGTGAACTCGGTTCTTGGGCCCTCAGCTATGCCTAAGTAAGACCACGTCACGCCTCATCACCCCCTCGTCCCCCCCACCCCCACCCCGGTGTGACCACTTTTGTTCCCGCCCCAAACAAAGCCGAGTCTTAACTCCTGCAGAATGAATAAGGGGATCAGGTTGCTCTCTCGGCTTCCCCCAGCCTCGCTTCTCCCCTTTCCCACGTGACTCTCTGGAATCTTTGCCAAAGCTCCGAGTCCCTGGGTCCATTTTCACACCGAGCAAAGGAAGAGAGGAAGGAGAGAAGGAGAGGAGGGAAGCGGAGGAAGGCGAAGTGTCTGTCCTTTAAACTCGGGGATCCAGAGGGGCCCTTATTTTGTGCGTTTTCAGGCTCTCTCCCCCGGGTGACATTGAGTTTCGGGGTCTTTTCCAGCCTCCCGAGAGCTTTCTCCTCTGTGCATTCCGTATTACGGCTCCTCTTCCCCTCCCGTAGTCATATCTCGACCCTGCAGACCGGCTCCGGGTGTACTGCGTACGGTGCCGGAGGTGGGTATTGGTGTGGAGCACGCCGCGTCCCCGCAGCCTTCCGCACGCCGGCGAGGGGCGGGGGCGAGAAAGTAGCAGCAGCGCCCCCCGCGCCGCCGGGTCTTCCCTCCGCAGCTTTCAAACAGTCTGCTGTAGGGAGCGCAGCCCGAGACGGCGCCGTGCGGTTGCAGCGCCAGCGAGTCCCGAGAGCTGCCCGCAGCGCCACACAAAGTTTCCTGAGAGCGGCCCCCGGCGGCCGAGGTCTGCCGAGCCGGGCGGAGACGCGGGTGTGGGTGGGTCTTTCGGGGCTCCCGGCGACCCCCTCTGCCGACGCAGCGCCGACGTAGGATGTCAAGCGAACTTTAAAAAGCTGCTTCCGAGGAACCTGCGCGGGGATCTCCACTGTAGCGGCCTCGGAGCGGATAGGTTCGGCAGAGGGAAATGCTGCGAGACCCTCACAGTTGGTGACCGGCAACTTTCGGGCAAGACTTGGCGGTCTGCCTTCTCTTTGATTCTCACGAGCTCAGCTCACGTTGGCGTCTTGCTTTGCCGGAGAGCTTGGCGCGCTCTCCGCGCGGGCAGTGAAGGAATTGAATCCCCTGCCCGGCCCCGGGTCTCTGGGCAGATGTGAGTGTCGCTCTCCGCCCGTCCACCTTATTTCCCCGGAGGTAACCGCCAGCCGCCCTCCACCCTCGGAGCGCCCCGGCTCGGTGCACCGAATCCAGCGTTTTTTTTGGCCGAGAGCCGGTTTTTGGATGCCGAAGGCTGGGCTCCTGCATCCTGGGTGTCGAGGCTGCGATGGGTGTCCTCAAGGTGTGGCTCAGCGTGGCCCTTGCATTGGCGGAATTTGCAGTATTGCCTCATCATTCGGAAGGTGAGAGAACTGTGTGTGTGAGAGCCATGCAGTTTAAAAAGCTGAGCGGGTTTGTGGTAGGGTCGGGAGGGAGTTTTTTTGAGGGGTGAGTGGGGTTGGAACTAGAGTGGGCTTTTGCTGCGAAAATTCCTACTCGTATCGTTTTGCATTTTCATCACGACCCCCGCCTCGCTCTCTGCCCTGTGTGCGTTTGGGTGGGTGGGGGGCCGGTTGGGGTGGCATCTAGGAAATGGGATTCTCTTTCTTTTCACTTTCCCCGGACCTGTCCCCGCAGGGAACGCAACTAAATGGAGAGTAGGTGAGGAGCGAACAATTGCTGTTACCTATGTAAAAAATACTTCTGCCTCCTATGAAACATAAAATTCGCCCCGTTGAACCCCGCAACGCTTTCCCGCCTTCCTCGCCCCAGTAGGTCTGCACCTAAAATCCAGTTACGATTTTATAACTAGCTGGTTTGAGCGTGTGCTGGACAATTAAATTGCACTAGAAAATCTCCCCAGTGGAGCGAGGCACTAGCCTTCCTGCTTCCCCCAGAAAAAAAGTGGTGGATAAGAGTTTAGGTTCATTCTCTTACTTCACCCTACGCCTCCTGGTTTTCCTCCGGGGCTCCAACCTACGTGTAAAATCCCTGAGCTTGGGGAGAGAAAGGAGGCTGCGAGAGTTGTCGCCATGATATCAAAAGCAATCTGGATTCAGCCAAATAAACGAATCAATAAGTAAATAAAGAGTTTGGGGGTCATGGGATGCCGGGTGCCGGGCCGCGAGGCACTGGGAGCTCCCACCTGCTCCGAGGAACCTGGGAAGTCGCCCAGCTAGTGCTTAGGGAGGGGGAAGGGAGCCGGCGGGCTCGGAGGAAGACGGCTTAATCCAAAGTGCCCGACTCTCGGCTTCCTCTCCCGGCTCCATTCATTATTCATCCAGCTGCGGAAAGAATAGTTCACCTGCCCCGCCGCAAATCAGAGCCGCTGCGGCGACGGCCGGCGCGGGGCGGGGCTCCTCCACCCAGGTGCTGAGTTGGGGGCGGCTGATGGTGCCGAATCCGGGCGCGGAGCTAGGGGCGCTGGAGGCCCGCGGGAGGGCAAAGCCCTGCCTCGGGCCGAGCTCTGACCACCGGAGCAGCTGCCTCTTCCCTCTTGTCTACCTGGGAGAAAGTGGCATGGCCTTGGAAATCCACGCACAGCAGTGGAATCGACCCCGTGGATACAGCTGCCGCCTTTCCACACCCTTCGGGGAACTATGTCAAGTATATTCTGTACCAGGGAAAAGCCTGTCTGGGGCCTGTGCAGCCTGCTTCAAACAGTGCATACCTAGTAGAAATACGTATTGTATGTGTGCGTGTGTGTGCACACTTAAGAAACAAACAAACATTTAGGGCATAGTTGTAATAATAAACCTGATGGGAGACTCAGCCCAGGCCACCCAAACATGAACCTGTGACCTACAAAAATTATTTTACTTGGTGGCAGTTTCTTATTTAGAGTCATATTCTTGCAGGACAGAGAACGTCCTCTGTCTCCCAGATAGCTCACCAGGGGCAGTTTTTCAGAACCAAATCTGTTTAAATTAAGTCATTACTAAGAGCCTGCAGAGTGCGCGCTTTGGAAGGTTGTCCCATAAAAAGGGCAAAATTTAAGAACTTTCAGAGTTTTTAAATGTTGATGTGGGAGTGGGGATGGGGGAGGAAACTTTGCTTCCTAATGTTTCTCCCCAACTTCAGAGCACTGTACAGCCATTTCACAGTGATCCATATCTAATAATGAATGAATGGATGAATAAATGATGACTTTTATTGAGCACATATCATTTACCTGGCACTAAGCATTACATAAGAGCCCTGGTGTCACAGTGGTTAAGAACTCGGCTGCTAACCGAAAGGTCAGCAGTTTGAATCCACCAGCCTCTCCTTGGAAACCCTATGGGGTAGTTCTACCCTGAACTATAGGGTCACTATGAGTCTGAATCAACTCAATGGCAATAGGTTTGGGGTTTTTTTTTTTTTTTTTTTTGGTATGCTTTACGTGTTTTATTCATTTGTTTAATTATGTGAATTGGTCCCACAGCCAAAAATCAGCTATCCTCTGATTTGGTTCTGTCAAGGTTTCTTTTAAAAATAAGAGCAGTGAGGTCAAGGATGAAAAGCTTACGGATCTTAGAGATTTCCTCAAGTTTATTATTAGCTCAGAGAATGATCTTAAAAAATAGAAAAGAAGCACTCATATGTGTGCTTTTCTTAATGTGATATGAGGCCTTTGCTGACTGACCAGTGCATGGAAGAGTTGGTTGTTTTCTTTTCAGTGCTCAGAGAGCCCGTCACACATCCTTCTAGTACACCAGTTAATACTTTCTTTAATTATAGTTGATATAGCTATGAAGTTCCTCACTTACTTGTGTGCTCACCCAGGGGTTAGGATGGCTCCAAGTTAATCCTTTGTCTCTAGTTCAGCTCCTAGTACACAGTACTAAAACCCAAAACCAAAAATATTGGTCAGATGACTGAGTACTGCCAAATCACATTCTTTTGAATTAAGCTTACCTGATAGTCGGGCCTCTACCACTAGCTGGCTGTGTGACCTTGAATGAACCATGTAACTTCTTTGAGCTGAACTTCTGTCATTTACCAAACGAAGAAGTCAACTAGAGGTGATGGCTCTTAAAATATTTTTCTTAATTCCCCAGCATACAAAAAAGAGAAATTGATACTTGATACATTATCTGTGGTCAATTGCAACTTTCTGGTTCTGAATTTTATTTTAATTATTAGGAAAAAAATTTTTACAACCAAATTATTGGCAGTGTTATTTTACACTGCCTTACATTGTTAAGCTTATGAAAATTATGATTTGAGAACTTAATAAAGGCAAGAAGTCACAGAGATAAACTTCAAGCAAACATGGCTGTTTCTGAATCAGAGAAGCTCTACCAAGACATTTTCTGGAGAAGCATATCTTGAATTGTGTGCCCTGTGGAAATCCAGTGAAGTTACACTAGATGGAATATTTTGGCTTGGGATAAGGAAAGATCATTGAATTGGAGGTTAAGAGAATTGGGTTCTAGTCTGTGACTTATCACTCCCTATGTAGCTTTAGCCCATCCCACAATCTCCCAGGCTTTTCCTATAAATGCCATTAATAAAATACATTGAAAAGGATCATTTGATAGACAATATTTTTTTATGTATGGCTACATCAACATATTTGGTTCTACTCTTGGCTGAAGAGTCCCTTCTATGAAGTACTCTCCTTAAAACTGAGTGTTGTGAAAGAGAAGACATTGCCTGGGAAAAACAGCACATCTCTTCATTTTTTTTTCATTCCACAAACCTTTATTGAAAGCTTATGTGTCCGATTGTGTCAAATGGGGGGAGGAGGGAATACAGACATAAAAACAAGACAAAAAAACAAAAACAAATACAAAAAAAAACCCTCAGTACCTGCCTCAAGGTGTTTGCATACCCAGCAATCATTAATATCAATAAAATAGCAGTAGAGATATGTAAACATTAGTCCTTGGTAGGTTTCCCAATATTGAACTGTTACATACTAATTGCAGCTTCACATTTTTGGCTTTTGCAGCTGCCTGCTAGTGGAAATGAAGAGATGACGTATTGTCATAGGCTCTTCATTCCATCATAATACATTTATATTCCTCTCTGGGGAATAGATTCTTGAAGTTACCCTCCCTATATCCATCCTTTAGTGAGGGTACAGCCATCCATATGCATTTGGGTGGCAGTTTCACTCAATTTTACTTAGACACAAGTATACATCAAATACTCTCCACCACGTGGCTCAAGGGCGGGGGGGGTGACTACCACATGGCGGAGTTGGAGCTGCTTGCCAAATCTCACAATAGTTCAAAAACAGTTGGCCCATTTTCATTTTAACTACTCTATTAATTGATCTGAATCCTGGTTGTTAATAATCAGGACATGAGCTGTCCTGTCAGTCCAGGAAACAATTCTATTTTAACTATTCCACAGTGTATACCGCCATATGTTGAATTATAACACAACGTAAAAGCTTGAACATTTAAATACCAACTTGTGGCTGCTTGTTCCTAATGAGTTATGTTTTTGTGATACTGTGCTCGCCAAATCTCTTCAAATCTTACGGTCATATCTGTCACTATTTCTTTGAACTAATGAGTCTGACATTTTGTGAGTCTTGGATGTAACTTCTCCAATTTACCAGTTATAGTTTCTGTAGTCAGTAGCTTCAGGCCGTAAGTAATGGTGCAAATTATTGAATTTTCTCTGAAAATTTTAGAAAAATTATTTCTCTGAAAATACTACATTTTATACAGTTGTTTCATAAGGGAGTACATTATAATGTGCAGAAGGTCTTAAAAACAGACATTGGTTTAAATTAATATTCAGTAACATTTTGCCAATGTGACCTGCAAGAAATGACCCAACCACACAAGTTGAAGAGCAGCCCAGGTCTCAGTACCCAGGTTCCCTTCTTGGCTGCAGTATATAATTGCTTCACCCTGCAGAGCTTTATGCACTTTCGCACTGGCCATGAGGTGTTAGAACTTAACTGGCATCTCAGTTGCATTTTGTGCCCTGAAACTGGCAAAGTTCTTGGTCTGAGAACCCTAGCTCCAGTTGGCTATTATATTTTCTCAGTTTTCCCTTGAAGAAGGCTTGTTTCTCATTCTGGGTCTACATCATCTCCCAGAATTCACCTGGAGCTAGAGTTTCCTTTAAAGTTCAAATAAAGCCATAAATATAAACCTCAGACAGAGCTGCAGTCATTCCAGTACTCCTTAAGAAAAAAGTGATGTGTATGTGGAGTGGAGTCACTTTGTTTCCATATGAAATGAATCAATTGATTAGTGAACAGGCTGGTGCTGAGCCAGAAGCTGCATCCAGCCCCCAACACCAACAAACTCCCGACTTCATCTGGTGGTGGGTGTGAAAGGTGTGCTAGTGTGGGAGGAATATGTCTGCCTCGGATGACTGCATCTGGCATTGGGTGGTGATAAATGTTTGATAAGACTGGGCATCGCACTGGAATGCTTTATTTTCTCTAGAGAGTAGAAATGAGGTTTTGGAAGCTGTGTTAATGGAGACTCATGCACGCAGCTGCCTTCCGGGTAGAACTGTTCTGTTTAAGGAAAGCCCTCAGAAGGTCAAGCTCATTTCTTTTGGAATTGTACATCACAGAGTGACCCAAATTGAGTTATTTCTTCTTCCTAGTGATGGAATTTATCAGCAGCTACCAACTATTTTGACTTGACTTCGTGTCTCTAGCAGGTGCGTGGCTTAACCAAGTGGATATATGGTGCCATACTCGATTCTGCTGTAGTTTTCCATTTTTTAATGAGTTTATAATATCTCTCAAAACTGGCAAAAATACGTTTTGATATGGGTACCTGAATCTTTCTTAAGATGTGTGATTTCTTTTGGAGCTTTGTAAAGAAGTTGGCTTTTGGAAGGTGTTGCTATGGAGGCGGGCAAAAGAAAAATGATCTGAGGATCGTCTTATTCTAAAGGTTAAATATTGTTTGTTTATTCTAAACGTTAAATTTTGTTAAATCGTATCTAAGTGATGATCTTTTTTATAGTTTTAAAACATCAGATATAATTAAACATGTCCATTTAAGTAATTTGGAAATGGAATTGTATTGATACTTAACACACCATAGACTGAAATGCTGAGTCATTGGAACAGGTTTTATCCCATATTATTATTCTTATTTGAATGTTAAGTGCACACTATCCATTTCAATAAATTTGCCCACAGAGATCTGCTGATTCAAACCCAAGTATAAACAGCCGTTTCATTTTTTTGAAAGGTTGTCCTTTATTTCAGTATTAGTGGAGAAGGTAGACCAGTCATTTCCTGAGAAGTTAATATTTTTGAGACTTTAGGAATGATCTCTTAGAATCAAGCTCCGTAGTAAAATGTATCCTTCACTCTTTGGAAACCAACTGTGGCGCTTCGCTTCGTCAAGACATGCTGCTTGCTTTGTTGTGTATATGCCATTCCAATCTGTTTTGCAGCCTCAATTTCTGAGAGAGTAGCCGATAGCACACTGCCCACCTGTTTCTAGGTTAAATCAACACCAGTTGTGCTGCTCAAAAATTGGTTGCGAATGTGTGTTTATGTTTTTTAAAATGAGGATTCTACATTCTTTTCAAATATGAAACTCACCAAAGATTTATGATACACTAGTTACTCAGAAAATATAGGTTGTCCCATCCTTATTCAGCCCTCTTTTCCATTTAGAAACAAATTATCTGTTGTTTTTCTATTTGTCACTTAATGAATGGAAAATAGAAAGATGTATCACTTCATAAGCAGTCGATCAGAAAAATAAAATGAGTGAAAAGAGGATGAAAAGAGCTTTAGCGATCAGGAGCTCAATGGAAGAGTTCCTTTCAAAGAACTACAGTCCATATCAGCCCCCCAAAAAACAGCCTCACTGCCATGGAGTCGATTCCGACTCACAGTGACCTTATAGGGCATGGGAGAACTGCCCCATAGGGTTTCCAAGGCCGTAAATCTTTACAGAAGCAGACTGCCAAATCTTTCTCCCACAGAGTGGTCAGTGGGTTCGAATTGCTGACTTTTCGGTTAGCAGCTGAAAGCTTTAACCACCCTGCCACCAGGGCTCCTTCATCTATACCACTGTCCTATAAAATGATTTATTGCCGTTTAAGAAGAAAAGACTGTGTTAAGGCATGAAATGGATATTTTGTGTTAACCAACCGGATACCTAAGTGAATGTCTACTATGTGAAGAGGTAGGGACTACAAAGAAGTAGAAACAGTCTCTGCCCTAAGAGTATATAGTGTAGTGGGGCATAATGCAACATTTCTGCATGAAAAGTTAAATAACCTTAGCAGGGACGCCACAAGGAAGCAGACAAGAAAGAATTCGCAAATGGATAATGCAGGCACAAAGTGCTGTGTGTACAAAGGAAGAAGAACATAATCCTGTGGGCTGGAAAAACTTCATGAAGGAGGTGGGATCAAGTTCAACGACCTTGAACAGACAGGATACATCTCCTGAAGGAAACCAAAATGAGCAAAGGCATTGACACAGGAAAACATATCATTGTATCCTGTGTTAGCCTCTTGGGTTGGACTGAAGAGTTTGTGTAAACCAAGAGTGGAATGCTCAAGCTTTTAAGATTGGGATGAGTTTAGGTGCAGTTTTAGCAGTAAGCCTGCTGGGACAGTGCCTCTTGGTTTATTATGCATCTCTTTTAATTCTTGTTTTGTTTTTCCTCACAGGTGCTTGTGTCTATCAGGGTTCCTTGTTGGAGGTAGGTCATTCTTAATATATTTGGTTTTAGTTCTTTTGAATGTGAAATGCTTTATTGAGGTTACTGAGAGAGTGAGATGACCGTTTCAATTGTAAAAAATGTTTATTTTCCTTCACAGTTTGAGGATTATGCCTCATCCTGACACAATCATGCTCAGTTACTTAATACCTTTTCCAGAGCGAATTAGTTCCATTCGAATATTCAGGTATTAGAAGAGAAGTTCAAATGCCCAATACACAATTTACATTCTGTGGCTGTCTTTTGTGTTCTTTCAGTCAGAGAGAAAATTAGGTCCCTTTCTTTTGTTGAATATGAACTAGGGCACACTTTGTCTTCCTGTTTCATTTACTGCCTCCTTGGACTGCCCCCTTCCAAAAAAAAAGTGTGATTATTACATTCAGTGAAATTTGGTGTATCACTTACTGACTCTTGCTTTGAATTATAAACTTAAGTTTTGGAAAGCAACAAAAAAAATTAACGTTTTATCTCTGAACCTTTACCATGTAGGGTGGAATTGATTTTGAATTTAATGTCAGGATGACTTGGGAGAAAAGCTGATGCAGGTCTCATGCATTTCTTTCCATTAATAATGTACTACGGTGCATAACAGTGTGTTAAAGCCTTATTGAAAAGACTGTCTACACTCCATCAACTGTAATAAATTGTGTGACAAGTCATTCTTCACCACTTTTTTATTTTGGTTTAATAAATGCTGTAATAAAACAGAACTGAGATGGTTGGAATGGGCTGGCTCATTTACATCACAACCTACTATTGACATGTGTGATATTAATAAGTCATCTTGGATTATCCTTGTGGTGTTGAAATAGAAATATCTTAAATATCCAAGAATCTAGGTAAGTATAGATGTTCACAGTAATATTCTTGAATTTGAACTTTATATAATAGTTACTGCTCTGATGATGTTATGTATTTTTTCTGCCTTATATTTTCTATTAAAGAGTCAAGAGAAAGACATTGTTCCTCTTCTCATTTTATGCCCTTAAAAGCAGATTTTTTCCTTTCAGTTTGTTCTTTAATATGTCTTAGGAACCATTTTTTAATCAAAGCACTATAAAGTTAAGTCATCATTTTTGGGGAGCTGTGTAGATATTATAGACAAGTAATTTATCTATATTAATACAAGAGAATAGCTTCTTGTGTAGAGTGTTTGATAATTTCTAAGTTTTCTCATATCTATTGACTTAACAGGTACTTACAATAGACCTGTGAAATAGGCAGGCCATGTGTTATTGTATACCCTCCCTCCCCTTTTTAAGGAAGAACCAAGGATGAGAGAGATTAAGAGATTTGCTAAAACCTTTAAGGAGTGGATCAGGACGAAACAACTTGTCTTCTGTCTGTTCTGCCTGTATCCGAAGAAAAGTAGCTAGACCATCTATATGTGACTTTACTATATGTTTTTGAGGAGTCCTGGGTGGCACAAATGCTTAAGAACTAACCAAAAGATTGGCCATTCAAACCCACCCAGAGGTGCATTGGAAGTAAGGCCTGGTGATCTTCTGAAAGGTCAGAGCCTTGAAAACCTTTTGGAGTGCAGCTCTACTCACACAGTTGGGATCTCCATGAGTTGGAATTAACTTGATGGCAACTACCACCACCACCACCAACATGTGTTATTGTATGTTTGAATATGAAAGTGTTAAGTACTTGGAGAGGTCAGTTTGATCAAGTTAAAGGAGACACTCTCTAGCTGACTTGCATTCAATGGATACTCTTGTTCCTCTCGGTACCATGCCCTGACTAGTCATCTGCACTTTAGTGTACCGACACACTCCTGACGTCTCCTTCTTTGCTTACCAAGACTCAGCTAGGTTTATTCCTAAACCTGTGCAAGCCCAATATACTGATTATTGGAGTTATACGATTCAGTCCAAGAGTCAATATACTTATAACAATAGTAAACATTACTGTTAAGTAAATGGAGTCACTAGGTGGTACAAACGGTTGATGTGCCTGGTTGCTAACTGAAAGATTGGAGGTTCTCATTCACCTAGAGTCATCTCAGAAAAAAGACTTGGTGGTCTACTTCCAAAAAATTAGCCCCTGAAAACCCTCTGGAGCATAGTTCTACTCTCATACACGTGGGGTCACCATGAGTTGAAATCAAGTTGATGGCAACTTTTTTTTTAATTAAACAAATATTTATTAAGTGAAAACTATGAGCCTGCTATTCTAGGCACTGGGAACAAGTCAGTGAACAAACAGACAAAACCCCCTCTCCTCATGAAGCTCAAATTCTATTGAGTAAGATATGCAGTGTGTCAGGTAAGTGTGCTGTGGGGAAAAACAGTGCAAGAAAGGGGGATATACAAGGCTGACTGGGGACAAGGGGAAACTTTGGTGGCATAGTGCTTAAGAGCTATGTCTGCTAACCAAAAGGTGGGCAGTTTGAATCCACTAGGCACTCCTTGGAAACTCTGTGGGGCAGTTCCACTGTCCTGTAGGGTCGCTATGAGTCGGAATCAACTCGACGGCAGTGGGTTTGGTTTGGTTAGGGGACAAAGGCGGTGACTTCAGATAGAGTGATAGGGCAAGCCTCACTGAGAAGGTGACATTTGAACAAAGACCTACCAGAAAGAGGTAAAACAGCTAGCCATGTGGATCTCCAGGGGAAGAGAATTCCAGAGGGAGGGAACAGCAAGTGTACAGACTCTGAAGTGGGAGCTTGCTTAACAATTTGAGGTGGTACATGGAGGTCAGGGTGACTGGAGCATAAGATTGAGGAGCAGGAGACCAAGTCAGAGAGGTGGGCAGGGGACAGAGCATCTGGGGCTTTGTAGGCCCTTGTGTGGACTATAGCTTGTTCTTTCCATAGGTGGATAAGCCATTGCGTGGGGGGACTACAGCAGAGGAATGGTGAAATCTGACTTAGAATTTAATTAAAGCTACTGAAAAGTGAATATGAAAAGAAACAGCATTCTTGTTTCTAGGGAAACTCTGTTGAATAGTTTGAAAAGACTCCATAGAGGTGAGTCACCAAAAAATTGCTGTCAAGTTAAGTGTGGGAGAAATAGCTACAAGACTGGGGAGAAACATGAGAATCTAGAGATTCTCCATGCAGATTTATTTGCAACCACCTTAAGTTCTCTTTCCATTTTAATGAAATTGAAACTGGAAGTGGGACATGATGCACTGTGGCTGTGGTCAATGCTAGAAAGACAGTACTGCACACTCCGCATGACCTAGTGTTGAAGAAAGGCATGGTACCTACATCAGTGAGGTTGGAGAGTATACATTTATGTAGTTTGAATTAAAGAGTTTAAGAATTTTCACAATTTATTCCGTGATTAAACACCTCTTTGGGTGAGAGGGCCTCTACAGTGAGAGGGCTTTCACACTCAAGAGCTGGCTCTGAGAAGGATGGTATCGTGTCCCCATCCCAAACCCTATCATTCTGTCCACGTACCCACCATTTCCACCACCCATCTGTCAGGTTGTCGTGTGGTGGTGGCTTGTGTGTTGCTATGATGCTGGAATCTGTGCCACCAGCATTTCAAATACCAGCAGATTCATCCATGGTGGACAGGTTTCAGATTAAGAAGAAAGGCCTGGCAATCGACTTTTGAAAATTAGCCAATGAAAACCCTATGGATCACAACAGAATATTTTCTGATATAGTGCTAGAAGATTAGCCCCCTGGGTTGGAAGGCACTCAAAATACACAATGGCTGCAACAATGGACTTGAGCATACCAACAATCATGAAGATGGCTCAGGACTGTTTTGTTGTACACAGGGTTGACACAAGTCAAAGCTCACTTGATGCCATCCAATGAAAGCAATGGCAAACACCTATCGTTTTAGAGCTAGAAGTAATTTCAGAGATCAAGTAGTCAAAACTCCCCATTTTCTAGATGATGAAACTGAGGCCAGGGATGTGAAGTTCTGGAAGTTCATTCATTTATCAGGTAAATAACCAAAAGCGCAGGGTTGGTCTGGTTGAAAAAATGGCAAAGCATCAGTTCTATACTGCAGAATTCCATAAAACATGTGAAGCAAGTTAAAATATGGATATGGGCCTTGGCTCCTGGTTGCTAACTCTCAACCTGCTTTGTTGAGGATTCCTTTCACTGATAACTTTTCAACTTGTCACTTGTTGCTTAGAAAGCCACATGATAGAGTGGAACATTCCTGCCCTTGGACAGACATGGGTTTGATTGTTCTGTTTATGCTACAAACTGGCTCTGTGACCTAGGCCAAGTTATGTAACCTTCCCAAACATCTATTGAATCCCATGGCAATGGGGATAAATAAATCCTCTCTTGCAGGTTTTGGTGGAGTAAAGAAGATAATGTGGGGAAGATACCTGGGTGCAAAGCTTGGCATGCTTTTCTGCACTAACGAAATTCCTCTCTACTAACCAAGAACAAGAACAAAATGAAGGAACAGTTACTAAGCACCGACTATGTATTTAATACTGCCAACGATCCCATGAAAGAGGTGCTATCTTTACAGATAAGGAGACATGTTTAAGCCATTTGTCCAAAGTTAAAAACAAAACAAAACCGGTTGCTGTCAAGTCAACTCTGACTCATGGCGACCCATGTGTGTCAGGGCAGATCTGTGCTCCAAAGGGTTTTCAATGGCTGTGATCTTTCAGAAGTAGATTGCCAAGCCTTTCTTCTGAGGTGCCTCTAGGTAGATTTGAACCACTAACCTTTTGGTTAGTAAGTAGCTAAGCTTTTAACTGTTTGTGCCACCCAGGGACTCCTGTCCAAAATTACAGCTAATAAGTGCTAGACCGAGGAAGGGTTCAAATGTGATTCTGACTCTAAAGCCATTTCACCAACGTGCCATTTCTACAGCCAAACCAGTCTGCTTGTTGCCTCTGAACACAACTAGCTTATTTCACCTTCAGTCCTACATGCCCACCCCCTCCCTGCCGCACCTGCCATGCAGTTGTCTCTGCCAGTCTCTGTCCCTGACCTCCTGTGAAAGCCGGCTGTCCCTGGCTAACCCCTTCCCACTGAACTGAGG